TAGATTTTTTAACCTTTTTGTTTGTAGAAATGCATAGAAAATGTATAACAAAACTAAGATAAACATTATATAAAACAATGTTTCTTAACACTATTCAACAATAGAGATCAGGGTAATTAATAATTAACAAAATGTTTGTCAGACGAATCGTTGTTCAGTGACATGAGACAATAATATAACACATTTAGGCATATGACCTAACTGACTATATGAAGGAGTTCTACATAATATCTATAGTCAACAGACTATAACTGCTCTGTCAAATGTCAAGTTACATCACATGCCAATATTAGAGACATGGTGTCAGTCGAATCCCATTAATGTACTGTTTTCTTTATAATGACTGAAAAATCTTATATTATTTTGTTGTTAAGTGTACAGGGTGTCCCAAAAGTCCGTACTCACAGTCAGAATTCACTAATTAATTTTATTTAATTAAAAGTTTAAATTACTTACCATAACCTTATATACATATATAAATTCTTACACATAATCTCCTCTGAATGCTCTCAGTACCTTTGTGTTAATTTTCTTACACTCCTGCCTTAAAAGAATTCTTCAGTATGTTGACATATGAGTGTGAGCAACTGAGCATTTGACACACCCTGTATAAACACAACATAACTCCACTAAGTGGCAACAACCTCGGCTCACAATTTTAAGTATTTTACGGTTAAATTTACTATATACCCACCACACGGCCCTACAGCATGTGTTTCATTAAGAGCTTAGCACTATTGTATCTCCTTACAGATCTACTGAACAAAACCCACACACATAACTTTATGTAACTCTACCGGAACATGAGAGGTCTTTGTGTGAGACCACCAAATATCACAGACTGAAGGCAGGAGTCTCCAGGGTGTGTATGAAAGACTCCCACTACTGTATCTCTATACCACAGCCATGGTTGAATAAGTTATATGAGCATGCAAGTAAACATACACACAAATAAATGTAAACATGAGCTTATGTAATAAATATGTTTTAGGTTTTGCAAAAAAGAAAAAATGTTGCTGGAAGCGACAAAATATGAAGCTGTAGATCATTTCAATAAAAGTACATTTCTCGGTCAAGTCCGTTTACCTTAACATCTGAGATTTTCAGAATAATCACACAGTCTCTATTGAATTGGGTAATCACAGTGGGAGGCATCAGCGTAAAGCACAGAACATGATACACAGTGGCACCAGCAGGAGCATGGTGAGGTACATATACACACGAGGCTCACATTTGGTATCCAGGATGTAGGCATGGTCCCACCTACCCTCCTGTGGCACTTCCACCACCGCCTGTTCTTCAGACCAGAACTTGAGTGGCATGGTACAGTCTGTGGTGTTGACACAAAGCTCCTCCGACTCTTTGGTGTTGTATACAACCCTCTCCATTGTCATGTTGAAATACAGATCATTGACATAGATCTCGTTGTCGCTGGAGAATACAAAGTAGTAAGTTCCCGTGATGGGGATATCATAAACAATCTTGTTCATCTCTATGGATTGGTAGCTGCAGCTCCTGTAAGGCACCAATGGCAGGGTGAGAATGACCCCTTCACAGCTGGCCAGAGCCTCTTCGCTGCTCGAGTACGATGACCTGTGTTCTTCATTCGAATTGTCATTTGCTGTTGACTGATTAAACCTTCCTCTCTCAAACTTTAAGCCCTCGGGAAAAAAGATCTCGCCTCCAATTGCCCGCTCCACTGACGAAAAGTTCCTCCTTCCCTGATTGGAAGTTACTTCACTTATTACACTCAAAATATCATCAGAGTCCAGTTCTTCGAAAGCACCATTTTCATTATCAATTTTGTCTTCGATGAATCTCTTAGCTCTTGATCGTGTTAAATTGTCATCTTTAGGGAAGAGTTCCTTAGTGAGGTTTTCATCACGGGGGTTACCTTTCTTCCTCTTTTTCTTTTCACGTCTTCGCTTATCTTTTCGTGTTTCACTTTTTAGTTTCCTGCTGACTTTTTTCAGCCGTTGTGGGAGGTCGTGAGCTGCTGATGCATCTCTCCTCATATCAGTTTGGTTGCTTGTCACTTTTTCTACCTCATCAAGATCCATGACGAGTTTGACTGCACCAGCTGTAGAGTTTTCGGTATTAGTTTCGAAGAATTGACTCTTGTCTTGAAGCTGATTTTCAGCATTGTGAGCTTTACGCTCAGCATGAAGGATTCTAAGTATCTCCGATTTGCCTTTGCTCATCTTGATGGCTTTCCGCAGGAGCTCACTGATGCTCTGACGACGCTCTTCTGACTGGAGATGATGTGGAGGAGAAGGATCACCTGCAGGAGCTGAATGCCCTTGTTGAGCAAATGAAGATCTTTCTACGTCAGGAAGTTCTTCAGGCGTTGTGAAGACATTCGGACCACCTCTCATAGACTGCTCCTCCAGCTTATGGCGTTCATTGCTGGCGACGTCATCATCTTCCACCATGTCCTCGGCTGAGTCCTCCTCTCCGATCCAGGCGCAGCGATGCAGGTTCTCCAACCCTCGGAGAATCATCAGCTGGCCTCCGTCCCACCTGCCACACAACATCATCAGTTAATACAACACAAAAACTACCTAAAATAGCAGTACAATGTGAGTATCATAAAAATTCGAAGATTGGTCGAAACATTACTGGTATTGGTCTCATTGGTGATGAAAATACCCCCAAGGATTTACTACTACAGTACTTTGTTCTGTGTATTTTTAGTATATTTTTGTCACTATCAATGGCGGAGGAGTAATAAAAGGTATCAATGTTTTCAGGTGAATTTGAAGTTTTCAAGCTAAAGATTTAATCTCCATCTGCACTCATCTTCTACTTTATTTCTAAGTGGACAAGAGTGACTACCTCTCCACTTCTCTACTTAGTCAATCCTACTGTCCCATTTGCCTGATAGAGGAGAGGAAAGAGGGAAAATGTAAGGTTTAAGTAAGAGACAAACAAGAATATTACATCATAACAGGTGAGATCAAATTTTATTTTCCGGTTCTTTTTTTATGGGTTGAGGAAGGATAAACATTACCTTAAATAATTCCTATAACCAACCTTACCCATCCTCACGTACTGTAGATTAACCTGTTGTTCTATTTTATTACCCTGTGTGAAGTGCATGTTGTTTTGATTAATTGGTAATAATACTGCACACACACAAACACACACACACACACACACACACACACACACACACACACACACACACACACACATATCATTAAGATGTAATCTTTTCTTGTGCTTATCCTACTTGACATTCTAAGGACACATAAGAGACAACCCACGTGGGCTTAAAGTCCCTTGTCACAAGATGAAACAGTCAGAATTTTCCTGTTATGTCTTAAAAATCCTCCTCCCTCCCTCTCCTACCTGGAGCAGAGAGAGATGGTGATAGTGGAGCCCTTGAGGAAGTAGAAGCCCCAATACTCTTTCACGTCGTCCTTGAGGACCAATTTGTTGAGCATGACATGGGTACGACGCTGGGAATCCTTGGATGGGGCGCCCTTCAGTAGGTAACCATTAAAGTTGCCGTCCATGTGTGTGGTCTGCGCCTGCGGGAGGAGGGTGTGTGGTAAGAAAGGCGGAATTGGATTGGTACGGTGTGATCTTATTGCTCACTCATGGGATGGTGAGGGGAGGCTGACCCAATCATTCATTAAAGGAACAGTTATCCTGGAGTCATTTTAATAATACATGTATGAAGAGAAAAACTGGATTAGATTTAAGGTTTGACAGCCTTTGGCCTCCGACTTGCTAACTGGCCAGCACTGTACTGTGGGTAGCGTTACCTCAAGAGAGACACCTCACTGTTCTCACCGGGAGGTCTCAGGTAACAAGCACCAGTGCCTGTACTCTATAAAACTGTCAAGAGAGGCGGGGCCAACCAGTAGTGCCTCTGATGCCTGTGCAAACATAAACAGCACAATAAACGAAGACCTTGGACACACCTCCACCTCTCTTGTCAGTCTCTTGTCAGTAGATCAGCAACCCAAGTAAACAACATGGCATTTACCAGGTACTGTACCACATACCTCAAACCTGACACCATCATTGTCCCATATACCTGGCACCAACAGTGTCCCATATACCTGGCACCAACAGTCCCACATGCCTGGCACCAACAGTGTCCCATATACCTGGATATACCTGGCACCAACAGTGTCCCATATGCCTGGCTCCATCAGTGTCCCATATGCCTGGATATACCTGGCACCAACAGTGTCCCATATGCCTGGCACCAACAGTGTCCCATATACCTGCTTAACAGTCCCATATACCTGGCACCAACAGTGTCCCATATACCTGGCACCAACAGTCCCACATGCCTGGCACCAACAGTGTCCCATATACCTGGATATACCTGGCACCAACAGTGTCCCATATGCCTGGCTCCATCAGTCCCTACATACCCACCACAACTTATTAGGCAATAATTTCTCCACATTACTGGCACCATCAGCATTCCCACATACCTGGCACCACCAGTGTCCCCATATACATGGCACTACATACCTGGCACCAGAGGCTGGAGACGTGTCGACTAAGGAGGCGCTGGTCAGTGGGCATCATAGGGTAGTGGCCAGGAGGGTAGAGGACAAGACGCACGTACAGTGGGATAGTGATGAGCACAGCCGGCAGTACGAGGGAGCACAGACACAGCCTCACCACACGTCGGGGTCCTCGCAGCAAATCTGTTAAGAAAACATTGTTCATATGATCTTCCATATAAATTAGCGATAAAATAAATGAACAAATAAAAAAAAAGTAAACACTAGTAACAATAGTTAGGAGACAATTCTTATAAAGTTAAATTTCTCTCAAGTTTATTTGGTTCCAAAAGTACTCATCTAATTAATAAAGTCTCTGTAATTATAATATAATTTGGAAGGTAATTTTGCGTTTGAGTGGACTCGTTAAATACAGTGTTACATCTGAAGTGACTAGGAACATTCACCGTACCAAGTTGGGAAAATGTGGAACCAGATTCTCACGTCATCGGTTACGAAGACCATTGAGAGCTTGAAAGAAAACCTTGAGATAATTAGCTCTGGACATTTCGTAAGCAAACTCACTACTTTAGGCTAAACTGATCAACTTATCATGGATGGGAAGACAGTGAGTCCATAGTACCCCACCCGTATTAACCAAGCTACCTGCCCCCCTACAGTCATTATTATGTATTCTACCCTATACCGTGTTACATATACAGTACTTGGTCAAATGAGTACCCATCCTGTTGAATAAGCAAGATGACCACAGTACAGGTACTAAGAAATACCTCCTCAGTCATAATAAGTAAGGCTACTAGACCTCACCCTACCCACACCCTGCTCTCTTAAACTAGGGTAATCCCCTCGGTATTGTGAAAAGATTGGCACAAACAGGAGGACTGGTACCAGTGGAACTGAGAGCGAGCAAAGGGCAATACAGAGAAAATGGAGAAGAGAAGTTGTTGGGCGTGTGGAGAAGATGGACACTTCTAGACGAATTGCCGACAGAATTGCAAGAGAGGGAAAGAAGACCGGGGAACTAGAGATGTCTGGTGCTGAGAGGCAATGACCAGCATGTCTCACCAAAGCTCCACGATTGGCAAAATGCAACCGAGCTACTGTAAGCAGTGTCCAGGTTGAAGGTGAAATCAATGGCATAAGGTGTTCGTTGATGATCGACACAACCTCGAAGCAGACTTTTGTGAGGCCGGACGTGGTTAGTCACCGAAAAATACCTGAGACATCACAGCAGTTGTGCAGGATAACTGGACACTGCACAGTGCTAAAGAGACCAGTGGATATCAGCATCAAGCTAGAAGGGGAAGAAGAAATCCTACAGGTTTATGTAGCGGATATAGCAGACCCTTGCGTCTTGGGCCTGGACTACCTCCTACCTCGAAAGTGTCAATTGGACCTTGGCTCGAGGCATTTGAAAATTAAAGGAAAGTGGGTACCGCTGAAGACTGTGAAGCATGCAGGTGCAAAGGTTACAGCTAGGCAGACAGTAGTTATTCACCCAAGATCAGAGGTGCTGTTGCCATGCAAGGTGAACGGTGCCTTGCATACCCGTCTGGGAATGGTGGAGCTTGATGAGCAGTGTGGAGTAGAAGATAGAGTGATGGTTGGGAAAACCTTAGGCGATCCATCTGCAGAGGTACCTGTAATTTGGGCCAATTTCTTTCTCCGGCCAAAGTAAATACAGCAGGGAGTGGCTGTTGGACTGTGGCACGAGGTCGATCAGGAGCAGCAGCCAAGGACCTGCAAGAGGAGCATGGTAAAACAGAAAAATGGTCTGCTCGACCATTTGCAGGACTTGTTTTCCAGGAAATCCTATTGCCTGGATGATGTTGTTATTGGAGTATATGGACGTTTTCTCTGCAGGGGACCTAGACCTGGGTTGTACAGACCTGGTACATCATCATCGACACTGGGGATCACAGCCTGATCAAGCAGCAACCTCGGAGGATAGCACTAGCTCATCGCCAGGAAATGGAGAAGGCGGTAGGGGACCTTATTCACCAAGGTCTTGGTCGAAAAGTCCAGCAGTCCATGGGCGTAAGGAGTCGTCCTAGTGAGGAAGAAGGATGCTCTTAGACTGAAGGATGGTCTGCTGCAGCGCCAGTGGGTGACTACCGATGGCCTCAACAGGTACTGACAGACAGTGCTTCCCCAGAAGGTGAGATCCTGAGGAAGATGCACAACAATCCAACCAGTGGACATCTGGGAGTGAAGAAGACCCTGAGTCGCCTGTAGCAAAGATTTTACTGAGTTGGCATGCGTAATGATGTGGAAGAGTGGTGCAGTTCATGCGTTGTCTGCTGCGCAAAGAAGGGACCAAAGCTCCACGTGTGCCCTACTGCAGTTGTACCATGCAGGTACACCAATGGAGAGTGTTGTGATGGCACCGAGTGTGAACTCATGCAAGGCCAGATTTGACCAAGACTATATCTACAATATATACCGAGATTTTGCCAAGGCTTTCGACAGTGTACCCCATGAAAGGCTGAAAATTAAATTGGAAGGGTAAGGGATTCGGGGAAGTGTCCTAGTGTGGATCGGAGACTTTCTCCATGACCGCAAGCAGGAGTACCACAGTGTATTGGGCCCGCTGTTGTTTGTCTGCTTCATCAATGACATGCCAGACGCTGCACATTCCTCCATACAAATGTTTGCGGATGACGCTAAGTTATTTCAGGAAATTAAGAACCAAGCAGATTGTGAAGAGCTGCAGAAGGATATGTGTGAGCTTCAAGAATGGTCGAAGAAATGGGAGCTAAGATTCAATGTCACGAAGTGCACCTGGGACGTACCAACGGTAAGGGGGCGTATCATATGTCTCAACGGGGCCATGAAACTGCATTAATTGAGACTGAATGTGAAAAGAACCTCAGTGTGTATGTTGACAATGAGCTTAAGTTCTCGGACCATTGCGAGAAGGTGAATCGGGGAACTAAATTATTAGCCCTTATAAGAAGGTCGTTCAGAAATCTAGGTGGTCCGTCCCTTGTAACGATCAAGAGTGAGGTACTTCCCCATCTGGAGTGCTGTCACCCCGTCTGGTCCCCGAGATATGCTTGGGACTGTCAGTTGATTGAAAATATCCAAAGGAGAGCCACCAGGCTGGTGCCAGCACTTCGGCACCTCAGCTACCCTGAGAGATTAGAGCGCCTGCAATTGACTAGCTTATACTACAGACGGACAAGGGGGGGGGCTTAATTGAGGTGTATAAACATCTCAAAGGGCACTACTCAGTCGAGTGTCCTTACCTGGAGCTGGCGGACGCTCGCCCCACAAGGGTCACACCTTAAGGCTGAAGAAGCCGCAAGTCCAGAAAACTGTGAGGGCTAACTTTTTCGGAGTGAGAGTTGTGAACTCTTGGAACAACCTACCAGAGAGTGTTGTGACGGCACCGAGTGTAAGCTCTTTCAAGACCAGACGACCAGCACTGGAGCAGGTTCAGATACATTCAGGAGCCGGTGCATGCCCAGCACTTGCCAACAGTGTGTAACAGAGACTTGACCGATCGCCCAAACGGTTAACGAGCCGATCAGTGGTGAAGAGGATAACGGTAAAAGTAAAAAAGTAACACCTGATGAACCTACGACTGAACATAATGCTAACAAATTATGATGCGATTGTACTTGAAGCGTCTCATTCCTTCATAGATAATATTAACATACATGTACAGTATTTAAAACATATAAGTCCCTAGGGAGAATCTCATCTCGTCGGAGTCAGTGTTACTATAGTCTTTATAACTATTTATGACCACGTGAGAGTTAAACACCCCATCTTATATTTCACCTGGTAAATAAAGAACTTAACGCTAACCTAACCAACTTAACCAAAGCTAAGCTAAGCTAACCCAAATTACTCCCGATAGCGTTAGAATGATAATCATCAGGTGAAATAAGCTGGGGCGTCTAACCTTCACGTGGTCCACCATTTGCACTCTAAACTATAAGATCAACACACACACACACACTGGCGAGCCCTAAACTACGCAAATAAATTCAGGTGCAGAAGGGAGGTGGATAAGGATCGCCGACGTTCTCAAGGGTATGTAAATAACCATGGAAGTAAATATAATTCAACAATATTTTAGTTGCATTTAATCAATAAGCAAAATTCCCGCCTTTCTTGACCCAACCCAGAAGCTTTTCGTACGTGAGAAATACTGTGTTTTTCTTATTACTACTTCACACAATGGAGTTGCCTTTTATGATAATTCTCGTATTCAAAAACTGTAAAAAAAAAAAAAAAATATATATATATATATATATATATATATATATATATATATATATATATATATATATATATATATATATATATATATATATATATATATATATATATATATATATATATATATATATATATATATATATATATATATATATATATATGTATATATATATTTTAATGTGAAGGAAGTTGAATGATATTTATATACAAGATCCATTTGATTAATTTTACTTCACACAGTATTTGTATGTGTTTGTCGATCTATTTATTCACATACGAACACTAACTATTTCTAGAGTTAATTAATTTTGACAACAGTAAGAGAATGTACACACCTGGCAACATCATATATGACAACTTGTGGCTGACTAAAGGATAAACCTTTCATATTTCTAAACAGGTTATTAACTAACATTAAACAGGTTTCTCTTAAGTCAGCTGAAGTAAGTTTAGAGGAGAGGCCAGTGATCGTCTCTCAGCCTAAGTTAACAGGTGTTAGGCGTTACACTATGATAACTATACTACTACTACTACTTTTTATGGCCTCCATCCTCCCCTAATAACCATACCTTCGCCACCATTTTATTACCTTAAAATTAAATGTCCTAATACATAAGTAACTATCCTAGCTGTGTTGATATAGTTGAGCCGCAGATCTATGCTGCATTCAGTGACTGTTGCCTCATAATTCAATATCTGCAACTGTTGTCGGCTTTGGGGCCGATGCTCTCGTTCCCCTGAGGCAGAGCAAAGCCGACTACTACTACTACTACTATTGCTGCTACTACTACTACTATATGATACTGACGAGCATTTATACAGCACAGCAGGCGTGGCACAGATCCCAATGACAGGTACAGAGGTAAAGTTTTGTAATATAGATTTTTTGTCGTAATAAACGATTGCAATATAATAATGTGTTCCTCAGCTTTTGGAAAATGAAAAAAAAAAATGTGTAAACATACTGTATTGTTTACCATTATTTGTGTACCTACACTGTCCATGTACATTATGTATATACCCACACTGTCTATGTATACATTGTGTATGTATACCTGCACTGTCTATGTACATTGTTTGTATACCTGCAATGTCTATATATCTATCTATCTATCTAGAGAGTTGAGGGTGACCTCTAGGAAAGAGCCAAGATTCTCAAGGGTGTGGTTTCTTCATCAAGGTCAACCTCCGACTTTCCAATAAATCCGATCTATGGATATTGCTGTACAGAGTTGCGTCCCATGTGTTGAGAGAGAGTAGTTCTTGAGTTTTAACAGCTGTTGTCTGGTGTTCATTCATACCATACGTGCTTAAAAACACCTTTATTTACTCACCCACGACTTCTGACACCTACAACTTGTGACACTCACGACGTCTGACATCCACAACTACTAACACCCACAACTGCTGACACCCCCAACTTCCGACACCAACAATTTCTGACACCAAAAGTTTCTGACACCCACAACTCCTGACAATCACAACTTTCGACACCCACAACTACTGAAACCGGCAACTTATGACACCTACAGCTTGTGACACCCATAACTTCTGACACCCACAACTTCTGACATCAACACCTTCTGACACCAAGAACTTCTGACATCCACAACATTGATACCCACAACTGCTGACACCCACAACTTCTGACACCGACAACTTATGACATTTACAGCTTGTGACACCCCAACCTCTGAAACCACAACTTCTGACTCCCACAATATCTGACACCGATAACTTATGACACAGCTTCTGACACCCTTGACCTCTGATTTCAACAACTTCTGACTCCCACAGCTTGTGACACCCCAACCTCTGAAACCACAACTTCTGACTCCCACAATATCTGACACCGATAACTTATGACACAGCTTCTGACACCCTTGACCTCTGATTTCAACAACTTCTGACTCCCACAACTCCCGACACCCACAATAATTTCCACTACAACTTCTGACACCCACAATACCTAACAACCCACAACTTCTGACACCCACAATACCTGACACTCATAACATCTGACACCCACAATCACTGCCACCACCACTTCCGACACCCACAATCACTACCATCACAACTTCTGACACCCACAATCACTACCACCACCACTTCTGACACCCACAATCACTACCATCACAACTTCTAATATCCAATCCTACCACAACTTCCACTCACAATCACTACCATCACAACTTTCGACACCGACAATCACTCATCACTTCTGACACCCACAATACCTGACACTCATAACATCTGACACCCACAATCACTGCCACCACAACTTCTGACACCCACAATCACTACCACCACAACTTCCGACACTCACAATCACTACCACCACAATTTCCGACACCCACAATCACTGCCACCACAACTTCCGACACCCACAATCACTGCCATCACAACCCCTGACAACCACAAGACAACAACGACTCAAATATCGATCACTGTGTAGGCAGCATCTCTGTTTGTGTCATTGTTGCTCGGAGCTGTTAGTGTCACTGTGTATAATAAATAGATAAGAAATAATGAATGGGTAAAAATCTATCTATCTATCTAGCTATCTGTCGGTTTATTTATCTAACTGTTTCATCACTAATCTCTAACTACAAACCAATCAGCTTAACATCAATTGTGGGAAAATTGCATAGGTTAGGTTAGGTTAGGGTGTTTAATTATGAGGTGAAATAATCTGGGGTGCTTAATCTACATGTGATCCAAATGCTCAGCTGAAGGGAAGGGGGAGGTAGAGTGGTGAAGGTGAGGAAGGGAGGGAGGAAGGCGGGGATAATGTGAATGTTTTATCTTTTAAATGATTACTACTAACCCACCTGGATCACACACCTCAAGGGCGAATGATAGTGAAACTACTACCTATCCTGTAGGCGGAGTGATATGGATGAAAATATTTTATATCAAGTTTATGGGCGGTAGAAAGTGTATAATATGGACACGAAGTAGTACCTTAAGCTGTGTATTATTATATTACTTTATTAATTATGTATAGTAAAGTATTACAGAACATGTATTAATCCTATGTAATATTTCCATTTATTATGCACCATGTTATGTATATGAATTATCATATTTACATTTTATGTATTCAGCTTGTGAATGCTGGCATCTGTACATGCCAGTGCGCAGTGATACAAAGAGTGGAGACCACCAGTCCTTATGGTGTGGAAGTGCTCTGTCTTATTAGTTCCCCTGTACATCTCCCGTACGAGAATAAGAACCTATTTTCAAGATAACAAGTGTTTGCGTATACCCTCAGTAGTGTAGAACATTTTGGGGGTACCAAAGACAAACATAGAGAAAGATTATCGGGAAGGAGGCAAACCAGGAAGACATTGCATCCGTGAATTATTTGGTTTGTGTGAATTTTGCCAATTGTCGCAGGTCTGGCAAAGGCTATTTAATTTAGCGAAGTATTGGAGTCTTCACATGGGGTAAAATAACGCACAGCACAACTGCCCTTTGGAAAACACTTTCTTGACGCCAGCAGTGAAGACAGTCAACCAAACTCTGAGAATCAAAAGTTGTTTCTTTTAATATAGAATTAAGATAATGATCATTCAGGATGAACCTCATCGAGACATTAAGAATCCTGAAAGGGATGGAAGACGTCAACCCAGATCACTTCTTCAAGGTGTCAAGCGCGACAAACACAGGAAGTCATAGTTACCAAGGTGTCATGTAGGGCGAATATAAAAAAGTACCTCTTCAAACAGAGGCTGATAGAACTATGAAACAGTCTACCAGTTGAAGCTGTGGAAACGAGAACAGGACTGACCTTCAAATAGCTTTGGACAAGACTACCAAGAACAATACAGAGACCCAACACAGGCCGTCTCCCACCTTCCCCCGACGTGACTACCTCTATCGGTGGCGGCCACGAGGTATTGTACTTGAGGTAAATAAGGTGAATACTAACGCCAAGTAAATCACAAGTGTTCAGGTAACGACAAGTAACATAGTGACAGCAAGTCATCTTTTGGGGGGGGAGGGGTCACCCACACCTACTACCGTTCAGGTCTGACTTTCATTGACGATGCTCACGATTTCAGCCTCGACAAAGGATCACATTTCTCTTATGTGACAAAATTCTTCACCAATTACCTGTAACTTATGACTACAGTGCATTGATCTTGCCGTGACCTTATTTTGCTTGTCATTCTATCAAATCTTTATGTTGTAGTGATGTCACCCTCGCCGTCGAATCCTTCTTTTCGGTAATTTTACCATAACTTCAGGTTGTGTTTACGTGATACCCCAACAATGTTCTACTCTAAAGTCCTCGTGTCCTGTGTCTTTCCTCCCCATGGGTTCGAGGTCTTCTTGAACCGCGAAAACGACCTAAACTAACTAAACCAAGAGGAAGAGCCTTACTCCCGTATTATTAAACAACATTTTCCCTTGAAGAGGTCGTCGTGTTTCAACCCGAGTTTTAAACTAAATGAGTCCTGAGGGACACCGCAGTACAGTACTAACGACCCTCTTCAAGGAAAGATGTTTAATAATACGGTCGTTAGTTAACATTAATATTCATATTTCTCACCTATGTATTTACTTTGAAGTTTCATATGAGAAAAGAGAAGGATAAAATGAACATTTAATTAATATATGAAATTACACCTGTAAATTTATGTTAGTTGTGGATTTCCTTCGAGTTTTTATATTATTATTATTATTATTATTATTATTATTATTATTATTATTATTATTATTATTATTATTATTATTATTATTATTATTATTATTATTATTATTATTATTATTATTATTATTATTATTATTATCTATTCTATCTACTTATCTACTTGCTGGCTCACCTTGTTTCCCTGGCTTAAGGAGGGAAAATTCTTTATTGAGGGAGGCGAAGGAGGGGGTCCGGGAGGGTCGCAGCTCCGGGGGAAGGTACGTGACGGAGTCCCCCACCGACATGGTTCCTCCTTCAGCGTCTCCAGGCAGGTACTGTTATGCTCCACGGGTACTGGTTCTCCGGCTACGGGTACTCCAAGTCCAGCAGAAGTCAAATGCGAAATTCAGGTGATATACGAGTAGATCCGACAGGTGGGCAAAACCCCTCGAATGCTTTAGTTTTCTCCAGCAGCAGGCAAGTACTGCCCTTCAGGTACTCTCAGGTCCCGGAAGGAGACAAGTTCTACACGCCAACTCAGTATTCTACATATGGAGTCTCGACAAACGTGTACATCTGTTTGTTACCCCAGACTCGTGCACTCTTCTCAAGGTGAAGCAACAACTGATTGAATTCATGACCACCCCAGGACGAGGGGCAGGAGACATTATCACCCTCGAGATTGATCCACACGACTCGGTGATACACCCGAAACTGTGTGTGAATGAGAGGCGGCAGAGCTCTCACAACAGCCCAACCTCCTCGGACGTCAGGATAGATACTAGTACTACAGCTCCCTCCCTCCCTCGCTCGCTTCACAACGCACATGCTCGACCAAAATACTTCACTCGTTTTCTTTGAAGGCCGGACAGCAGCTGAGGACCCGACGTATACGCATCTACGTAACGTAACCGGTTCCCTTAGCAACACGGTGCCCGCTGGTGGTCGTGGTGACGTTGGTGGACCAAACTTTACTCGACTGATGCCCTTATTATATGTATGGATGTGCTAACAGGTGACGCCTCGCCTAATGATGTGTACGTGTGTGTGTGTGTGTGTGTGTTTTAACAAAATAACACATCACAACTGCTAAAGTGACCCTCAACTGAATCCTAAGCGGCAAGAAACGACCCAGAGAAGACACTAACCACCAGACGGTTGAATGTGGACGACGGTGGGTGAGTGTGGATGACGATGGATGAGTGTAAATGACGCTGTGTGAGTGGATGACGATGGGTGAGTGTGGATGACGATGGGTGAGTGTGAATGACGATGGATAAATGGATGACGATGGGTAAGTGTAGATGACGATGGGAGAATGGATGACGGTGGGTGAATGTGAATGATTGTAGATGAGTATGCATGACGGTGGGTGAGCGTGGATGACAATGGGTGAATGGATGACGGTCGGTGACTGTGGATGACGGTGGGTGAGTATGAATGATGATGAGTGAATGTGGATGACGGTGAGTGAATGTGGATGATGGTGGGTAAGTGTAGATGACGGTCGGTGAGTGTGGATGACGGCGAGTGAATGTGGATGATGGTGGGTAAGTGTGGATGACGGTCGGTGAGTGTGGATGATGGTGGATGAGTGTGAATGACGGTGGATGAGCGTGTATGTCGGTGGATGAGTGTGGATAACGGTGGGTGAGTGCATGATGATGGGTGACGGTGGGTGACTGTGCATGATGTTGGGTGAGTGTGGATGATGGTGGATGATGGTGGATGAGTGTGGGCAACGGTGGGTGAGTTTGGATAATGGTGGGTCTGTGTGGATGAGTGTGGACGACGATGGTTGAATGTGGATGACGATGGGTGATTGTGGATGATGGTGGATGATTTTGGATGATTGTGGGTAACGGTGGGTGGGTGTGGATGATAGTGGGTCAAGACGATAATTGAATGTGGATGACGATGGGTGATTGTGCATGATGATGGATGATTGTGGATGAGTGTGGACGACGATGGTTGAATGTGGATGATGGTGGGTGAGTGTGAATGACGCTGGGTGAGTGTGGACGATGGTGGGTGAGTGTGGGTAACGGTGGGTGAGTGTGGATGATGGTGGATGGGTGTGGATGATGACGGTGGATGAGTGGATGATGATGATGGATGAGTGTGGATAATTGTGGATGATGGTGGGTGAGTGTGGATGATGGTGGATGAGTGTGGATAATGGTGGGTAAGTGTAGATGATGGTGGGTGAGTGTGGATGATGGTGGATGAGTGTTGATGTGTGTGGACGACGATGGTTAAGTGTGGATGACGATGGGTGAGTGTGGATGAGTGTGGACGACGATGGGTGAGTGTGGATGAGTGTGGACGACGATGGTTGAGTGTGGATGACGATGGGTGAGTGTGGATGACGAGGTGGACGACGATGACGAGTGTGGATGACGAGTGAGTGGACGACGAGTGACGACGATGGTGAGAGTGGATGACGATGGGTGAGGGATGACGATGGTGAGTGTGGATGAGTGGACGACGATGGTTGAGGATGACGATGGGTGAGTGACGATGGGTGAGTGTGATGACGATGGGTGAGTGTGGATGACGATGGGTGAGTGGGATGACGATGGGTTAGTGTGGATGCTCTAGGCTTCTAGTTTATCTTATAATCTACCAGTGTTCAGGTAATGTGAGATTGGCCAGGCGCCAGTGAGCCTACCAGACGAGTGTGTGTGTGTGTATGTGTGTGTGTGTATACTGTATGTGTGTGTGTGTATGTGTGTGTGTGTGTGTGTGTGTGTGTATGTGTGTGTGTGTGTGTGTATGTACAATAATAATAATAAACGGTTATTAATAGAGTTGCAGCTGTGGCTGAAAATATACAAACTTACATTTGATTTAGACATAATGATATAATATGCATTGAATACATTTACAGGGCTGTACAGTACATAAATCAGGAGTTGTTTATTATTTAAGCAATAGATGGGATGGTGCTGTTCTTATATCTATCAGTGCGGGCTCTTATGGGCTGAATTTTGTTGTAGTGGCGGACTGCGCGAGTTGGGTGGGGGGCTGCAGGTGGCAGAAAGTGGCGATGGCGAGGGTGGTGCAGTAGCCCACTGCTAAACCTGTGTGTGTGTGTATGTATGTGTGTGTGTGTGTGTGTGTGTGTGTGTGTGTGTGTGTGTGTGTGTGTGTGTGTGTGTGTGTGTGTGTATGTGTGTGTGTGTGTGTGTGTATGTGTGTGTGTGTGTGTGTGTGTGTGTGTGTGTAATAATAATAATAATAATGTGTGTGTGTTTGTGTGTGTGTGTGGGAAAGTGTGTGTGTGTGTAATAATAATAATAATAATGTGTGTGTGTGTGTGTGTGTGTGTGAAAGTGTGTGTATGTGTGTGTGTGTGTGTGTGTGTGTATGCGTGTGTGTGTCTGCGTGTGTATGTATGTATGTATGTATGTATGTATGTATGTATGTATGTATGTATGTTATAATTAAATGGGATTATCATGAGAACTAAGCTGTTAAGAAATAAATTCGGAGTTTCATGTTTATTGGTTGAGATGATTCACGGTGATTCATTAATAATATAAACTTATCTCTCAGACTTATTGTGAAAACCACCTGTTCCTCACCGTTCTTCATAGTCTTCCTCCGTGGCACTATACAGGGTGCCAGTGGGTGTAAGAAAGATTGCCAGACAAATGAACATTGACCGGTAGAGAGAGAGAGAGAGAGAGGGATCTATGTGACGTCATGAGTGACCTCCACAGGCACCTCCGACAGCTTCCAGTCTATCGATGAATCGTGTTTTTTCTTGTATGTTTGTTTTTAAGTCGGTGTGAACTAAGGGTGGCCAGAGCCTTTACACATGCCACGCAGCTGAGAGTGGCTTGGTGCGACACGTTACACAGCTCCGTTTTGTTTAGTATAGTTTAGTGTTTCTAGCGAGTCTTATGTTACATATACTGTAGGTGTTTATTGAGTCTATACATCTCTCTGTTTGTATTGTTTACTTATTCACCGAGTTATTGGTTTATCTTTTAAGGTTCTTTCAGAGAGCAGCTGGTCATGTTAACACAAGAGATAAGATATTAGTAAGACTTGACACTAGAGAAGTTCTTTTGACTCCATCACGAAACACATAACCATGGCGATAAGAAATATACCCTAAGCATTGAAATACTCCAGCAATATAAGGTAAGGAAGGTTAATTTTCTTAGTAGTGTTCTTGTTGATGAGCTATGACGTCTTGGTCTCGTCTCCAGCTCGTGTATACATCCCCTGCTTATACTGTAAACGATAACAAGTGTCGATTACACCTTAATGGATGGGTCTGACTCCTACTGTGGACGACTACTTGGCCTCGGGTGTTTACAATAATCTCTGTTAAGGTTAGGTTAGGTTAAATTAGGGTCAAGTTTTGTTAGATTAGGGTTAGGTTAGGTTAAATTAGGGTCAACTTTGTTAGATTAGGGTTAGGTTAGGTTTGGGTCGAGTTTTGTTAGATTAAGGTTAGGTTTAGGTTAGAGCAGTATGTTATGTTATTTTAAGTTATGTTAGGTTAAGGTAGCGTTAAATTAGGTTAGGCAAGGTTAGGGTTAGCATTAGGGTGGATAATCTTAAAGTGCAGCTTATCTTTATCAACCCATAAACACCAAAGCTTAACAACCCCGGATAAGTCCTTATCACGTGACTGACACGCACACACACACACACACACACACACACACTCAGGGGTCACCTGCGTATCACTGACGATTACAGAGCGGCGGTCCGGTAAGTGCTACCAGCATACTCTGTCAAGGCCTGGGCTATCTTGTCCTGTGGAAATAGTCCCTGCTGGTCCTGAGGTACAATATTACTATTTTTACAGCTGCTGATGGTAACACTGATAGTACACCAGTGGGAGATTACTTTGGATCACTTGAACATTAGCCCATGAACTTATTTATCCTGATGATTAAACATCCTAAAACTGCCTGGTAGGGTTAGGCTCGGTTAGGTTAGGTTAGGTTATACTAGGTTACGTTAGAGCTATGGATGTAAATTTTAAGGTGAAATGTCGAGGTAGGGAACGAACTTGCAACAGCGACCACAAAGAAATTAGATTCCAGTTAGATTTTCAGGTCAGACGTAAAGGGAATTCCATTAAAGTCCCAGATTTCAGAAGGGCAAACTTTGATAGTTTAAAGAGGCAGCTGAGAGAGGGGGTATCACGCTTGGATGTGAACCAAGATGACACCGACCTGATAACGAGATCTGAGATTGCCGAGTTCCACGACAATTTAAATAACGAGTTACTTAATGCACAAAGGCAGAACATACCATACAAAAAACTCAGATCAGACAACAATGACCCTAAATGGATAAATAATTATTTAAAGAACATTATTGGCCAAAGGAAGGCTATAGGTAGAAGGATAAATCGTGGCGAATTTTACCTCCGGGAGTATTATAAGGTATTGGCCGGTAGGGTTAAGACCGAGATAAGAAAAGCCAAGAGGAACTATGAACTGAAGGTAGCAGGGGAGGCGAAAACAAACCCCAAAGGATTCTACCAAATGTATCAAACTAAAACACGAGATAAGAGTGGACCAATACGTTCAGATACCGGCGAGCTAACTGATAATGATGGAGAAATGAGCAATAATCTGAATAAATATTTTTCAACAGTTTTCACCACCGAAAATTTAAACATGATACCCGAGGCACCGACTCTATTCAGAGATAGTGAAGAAAACAAATTAAGCGAGATAGTAGTGACTAGTAACGATGTTAATAAGCAAATAGATAAACTGAAGCCTAATAAGTCACCTGGTCCCGATGAGATATTTGCCAG